GTGATGATGCGTGGGTGAATTGGTGGTAGGAATTTCATGGGAAATCATACCTTTTACAAAAATGTAGGATGATGTAATAAATACATAAAAATCTTTTTTCTTAAGACCTAGTTATTTTTCACGTATAAAATGAGGTTAATAATGACTTTATTTAGTGTCATTTTCAGAATTCATTTTTTGTTTGTTTTTAATATACGTAAAAACTTCTAGCACAATGGCTGGCATTAAGAAGACAATAGATGCCAAAATATGAATATTTTGAGAGAGGATCCAATTGGAAGTGATTGTTTACCTCACTGACACTGAAAATTCTTGGAAACTAGAGTGTTGATATAAAGTGGAAAATCCTCAATGACTCTACTCTCCAGAAACTTTAACAAAAGGTATACATAGTTATTTCCCACAAAGTACAAAATATCATAAAATCTTTCATAAAAATCTCTTAGAACACTTTTACCAGATAATTTCTTGTCACCAGTTATCTTTGTAGCCAATTATCCTGTTCTCTCCTTTCTCCTCATTTTAGCACCTGTTAGGATTTCTATGACAGGAGGTTTTTAGTATGAGAAAAACTACAAGCTTGATCAAACATTTTTTGATTTTTTTAAAACATCTCCATTTAAAAGTTAGTGGGAAAAGTGGTAGATAAATATTGAGTGAAGAGATTATAAATTTCATTTTTGGGTAATATTGTATCTTCTCCTACCTTCAATTCACTCCATCTCCAGATTACCTTGCTAAAGAAGTTTAGCAACTGGTTTCTAAGTGAATCATTTTCTTCAAAACTATCTTGTCATAATTGTTGATTTTAATATTCATTGCAAGTGATCATTCCAATATTTAGGTTTCTCAATTCCTTTCTTCTAATTTTCTTACCTTTCACTTTGCCTTGGTTACTTATTCCCATGGCCACACCATGTGTTAGTCTGTGAGGGCTGACATTAAAAAGATACTGCAGAGTAGATAGCTTAAATAACAGAAAATTGTTTTCTCAGAGTAATAGGAGCTTAAATTCCAAGATCAAGATATTTCCAGGTATGGTTTCTTCTGAGACCTCTCCTGGGTTTGCATCCACTTTCTTGCTGTATACTATTAATGGACTTTCCTCTGTGTCCAGGAACCCATTACATCTCTTTGTGTTCTGAAAATTCCTCTTCTTGTAAGGATAACAGATAGGCTGGATTAAGGTCCAAACTACCAGCTTCATTTTAACTAATTCATCTCTGTAAAGGTTCTATTTTAAATATGGTTACATTCTGAGTTTCTAAGGATTAAGGGCTCATCATATGAGGTGACACAATTCAGCCATAGCACAGCTCTGGACTATATCTTACGTCAATTCCTGTAATAGCTGAATCTCAAATTCTTGCATATCATTTCACAATCACTACCTCCCTTCCTAACTCTTTTTCTGCTACCCCAAAGCAATATTTTTTTATAATTAAAAAAAATATTTATGCATACAAGAACTGGGTTACAGGCCAGAGGTATTGGGGGTGAGAAGATTCACCAGAGATAGTGGGGAACAGAACTGGGAGACTGGCTGAAATACACTGGTGAGGGGAGCAGCGCGTGAGTCAGAGAGGTCTGCTGTGCTATGTGGGTAGCACCCTGGCCAGGGTTGAACTTGTGCTTCAGTGGCTGTGGATAGCTTCATAGATTACATCTGAACCCCTCGCGCCACCAGGGAAGCCCCAATATTTTTTTTAAAAATTCATTTATTTATTTTAGGTAACATTGATTCACATCAGTTTATGTAACTCAGAAGAATAGATTCATACCTCCTGAGATGAGCATTAGCACACCGCACCCATGCCAGAGCACTCATAGCCCTTTATGATATACCATTGGGCCCCTCACCTGTTAGTTCCCATACTCCTCCTGCCCTCTAAAGGCCTTGATTTTGCAGTCATTTGTAGACTTTGTTTGGGTTTAGTCCCTTGCATTGTTTCTCTATATTCCATATGAGTGAATTCATTTGGTATTTGTCTTTCTCGGTCTGACTTATTTCACGTAGCAAAATTTCCTCCAATTCCATCCATGGTGTCACAAATGGCAAGAGTTCATCTTGTATGTATGTATACTACATGTATGTATGTATGTATACTACAACTTCTTAATCTACTCATGTATTTGGGCACTTTGGTTGTTCCCATGACTTGGCTATTGTATATAGCGCTATAGTGAACATAAGAGTGCATAAATTAAAAAAAAAAAAAAAGAGTGCATAAATTGGGCCTCCCCTGTTGGCGCCACACGGTGAAGCTGTCCACAGCCTCTGCAACGTGGGTTTGATCCCGGCCAGCTGGTGAGGGTCCCATATGGCGCAGTGGACCTCTCCTGTTGCACCCGCTGCTCCCCTTGGCAGTGTATTTCGTCCATCTGCCTGTTCTGCTCCCCGCTCTGTCTCTGGTGAATCCTCTCACCCTCCCGCACATCTGGCCTGTACCCCAGTTCTTGTATAAATAAATAAATAAATAAATGATTAAATAAATAAATCTTTTTAAAAAAGACTACCTAAATCCCTTTCAATTAGTGTTTGCAATTTTTGGATAAAGGCCAAGGAGAACTACTGAGTCATATGGTATATCTATTTTTAATATTGTGAGAAATCTTCATACTGTTTTCCAAAGAGCTAGAAAAGTCTGCATTCCAACCAACAATGTATGAGGATTACTTTTTCTCCACACCCTTGACAACTTTAATTCTTTTGGGTTTTGTAGGGTTTTTTTGTTTTTGTTTTTGTTTTGTTTGGTTTGGTTTTGTTTTAATATATGGACCATTCTCACTGGAATGAGGTGGCATCTTATTGTGGTTTTGATTTTTATTTCCCTAATGATAAATGATGTTGAATTATTTTTCATTTGCCTGTAGGTCATTTGTATATCTTCTTTAGACAGTGTCTATTTAGCTCTTGTGCCCCTTTTTTTATTGTGTTCTTTGTTCTCTTTTTATTAAGTTGTTCGAGCTCTTTGTAGATTTTGGATATTAGCCCATTGCTAGATATATTATATACAATTATATTCTCTCTCTCTCCCTCTCCCTCCACTCTTGTTTTTTCTTAAAATTATATAGAACCCAGCCCCTACTCACCATCTCTACTACTACTATTATGGTCTGAATCACTGTCTTACCTGAATTGTTGAAATGACTTCAGGATTCCTCTAATTTCCTCCACCGTTACCCTTTACAACATATTTTCAACACAGTAGCTAGGATGAGCTTTTTAACATAGTAAGTCATTTTTCTATTCAAAACTGTGCTGAGATATCATTACTCTTCTCTCTCCCTTGGCTCCAGCCACAGTGGTCTCACCATCACTGTTCACATCTGTCTTAAAGCTTCTGCACACTTGCTGTTCTCTGTGTCTATAATGCTTTCTCCAAGTTCTCTCCATGACTTACATCCTCCACTCCCTTCAGATCTTTGCTCAACTGTCACCTTCTCAGTAAGGTCTTCTCTGATCACCCTGTTTAAAATGGCATCCCACCCTCATTCTCCAGCAGTCCTAGTTGTCCCTTTTCTTAACTTATATCCACAGTCAACACTACCTCATCAGCTGTATGTTTAATAGTCGGTCTCTCTTATTACCTCCATGAGGGCAGGGATTTTGGACTATCTTGTTCATTCATCTCCCCCTACCTCTTAGAATGACACCTGGCACATAGAAGTTGCTCAATAAAGAGTAAACAAAAATGTTATTGCTCTTATTTTTCATCCATAACCACAAGATCATTAATAAATGTGAATTTATCTTACTTCTACATTCCTGAAAAAAAATATAATGCCCAAATTTTGTTGGTCCACTTTGATCAAAATGCAAGAGAAAAAACATCCTCTAGAAGATGCCAAGAAATCTCTTTGAAACCCATCATAGTACATTAGACTGCTAGTTTCTAAGTTTTTGTTTGATCCAAAAATGATTCCAAGCATCTCAATTTTTTAAACAGTATACGTTGCAGCATATAAATGTGGGAAAGTAACATGATATTCACCTTAAACTTACAGATTAATATAGGTCAGATTTCTTCTAAAAAGATACAAAAAAGAATGCAAGCCCCGTAACAGCAAAAAAAGCATAACATAATTAAAATTATTTATATAAAATTTTTTTTTATTCTCTTGAATTAAAAGTATACGTTATAGAGTATTAACACTTCTTGAAAGGAAATAAATATAAATACATTGGGATTTTAAGATTTTAAGAGTGTGATACAGAACTCTTTGGATACTGAGAGTGTAAATAAGTTAAGTATAAATAACTTAACCTCCATTATCTGTATTATTTTGACAATTGTGTTCCTGTAACTCCTGTTCCTGTAACTCCTGTAGCCCCTGTTTACTACCTACTTCTATTTGCACTGGATTCATCATTGCACATGTAATCTCATTATCCTTCTGAGTAAGGTATTATTTTTATGTTTTCATTTCACAGCTGAAGAAATTGAAATTTAAAAAAGTTAAGCAAGTTCTGAGATAACCAGACCAAGCATTCCATGAATTATTTCCACCATTGCCTACACTCTTTTTAACATATTAATTCTTTCCCATAATCCTCTTCTCATGTCATCAAAATTAGTGGGAATCTGTCTGTGGCTCTTTAAATTTAGGGCAATAATCTGGAAGGGAGAATGCTTAAATCCTTCTTTGAAACTTTTTACTTATTAAACCATAATCAAATTACCAATCTCTCTTACCAGTTTTTCTTAGCAGTAAGAAAGGTACAAATTTATTCCTGTTACTGTTTTTCAAAAGAAGAGGTAATAGTTATGAACTCTTGGAACAAAGTTGTACTGCTCTTGTAACAATAAACTCACCCATGTCTTGTTTTCTGACCATTAGTCTGACTCTGTTTTTGTCCTTTCCATGTTTCCTGCGACTTGAACAATGCTTGGAGAATAGTGAGCAAACAATAAAAAAAAAAATTCACAAAAGACAGAGACATAAGTCAGGGTATTTGAAAAAACACACCATCACCTATTATCAACTCCCTTGGTAGTTTCTTTTTGAACCCCCTATTCACCATTAGAAGAAATTTGCCAGTCATATTTCCAATACCCTGCACCAGTTTTCTTCTTAAAACAGGTTCAGGGTTAAGTGTCCAGGGCTCTATTCCAGAGGAAAATGACTTATTTTAAAAACAGTGAAAACACCACATTCCTCTGGCACAGGATGAAGACCAGCTCAGCTCTTCAGTCGTCGAATCATTGTCTATTGTTCTCCAAACAGTAAGCTTCTCTTTCACAGATTGTGGACTGCTGTTATATCCAAGTCCTAGGCTCCTCATGAATATGAAGTAAAAGGCTCTGAAATAAAAAGAGGTAGGTAATCTCAAAAAAGAAGAGAGAAATAAAAAAAAAAAAAAACAGGTAATAAGATAAACAGACCTCATGTAATTCTACGCTCTTGAAATTTCCTGCAGTTGCCGAACAGGGTGAAATGGGGGCTCGACAATGCGAAGGCTGCCTAAGTGGTCTACTGATTCCTCTGGCACTTTGGAGTATAATTGTGAATATATTATTATATTTCCCAAATGGACAAACTTCCTATGCATCCAGCAATAAACTCACCAACTACGTGTGGTATTTCGAAGGAATCTGTTTCTCAGGTGTCATGGTAAGTGTGACTTTGGAGATGTTTTACTAAGAATTTCCTTGCTCTAGTAAAATAATGAATAATGGAAAAATTATTCTACTAATCCTGGGCTTGGGACTTTGAATATCGGTGGGGGTTGAAGGGCCACTAGGCCCTTAGGCCTTGGGAAGTATCTTTGTTTGCAGGAAGCTGTTTGTTTATGTAGGCTCGCAATGCAGGAAATCAGTCCTAATGAAAGTAAGAGATTCACTGACATGTAGAAATATATGTTCTCATGAAACTTGTGTACCAATTGAAGCTATTTTATCCCCAGTGGCATCTCTCTTTTCCAAAAAGATTTTCTGTCTCTATAATTTCTCTAGCTTGGAGGGTTATTAAGACAGAATATGAAAAACAGAGACTAAGCTCTATCATTTGTTCCATGAGATATTGAGCAAGTTGCTGAAGGTCTTTGGTCCTCAGTGTCCTCATTTGTAAAATGCAAATAATTACAACTACTTTTCAGGGTAATTGTGGGGATTAAATCAAATGTCATGTATGAAGTATCCAAGCCTGACATGTAGTAGGTAGCCAGTGACCATTGTTAAAGGGCGGGTCATGGCATCGTTAAATCCTTTGATGTTATACTCCCAATAATAGAGCTTTGAAAAACTAAATCAAATGATTCACAGTATGAATCTATGAATGTTTTTCTGATGACTTTGTGCCTTTAAAAATAAACTGAGAGTTTGTTTTTATGATGGCAACTCAGAGGAAAACACACTTTTCCTGATTCTATTATTTCTAAAACAATACCTTGTGCACTGTCTGCTCACTATACCACGTATAATATACAATAATATAAAAGAAGATAAATCTGTTTCTCCATTTTGTGGATATTTAGCTGTATTTGAATAGGTATGTTGGAAAAAGTTTTCATTTTACTCTTTGCACATTGGTAAATTTTAAGACATTAAAATTATCACTATGTGATAGGTACATAGTGAATGTGGTGGTGGTACTACGCATACATGCAAATCCTGTGAAGATTTTGTTATGATGTTTAAGATCCATGAAACCGCTTTTGTCTTTTGACTTGGCAGTCTTAAATCTGAGAATTCATTCTGAGAATATAATGCAAAATATGGACAGAGATGTATACACAAATGTTTATGGCAGCATTATTCATAATAATAAATTAGAAGTATCCAAACATAGAAGAGACCAAGTGATTTACTTCATATGGCAATAAAAAATTTAATTATGAAGATGTAACAACATGGAAAATACAAGTCATTTTGTATTAAGTGGAAAAAAAGAAAAATTGTGAATAAATTATGATTGCAACTATAGAAAATGTGCATGTGTGGGAAAACACTGGGAGTAAATATGGAAAAAAAATATGACAGTGGTGGAATTTTGGTCAATTTTCCTCCATTCTTGAGCACTCTGTACATTTACATTTTACAACAGCAACATTACACTGTTTTCTCTTTTTAGATGGGACTCTAGGGTCTCAGTCAAATTATTTCTACCAATATTGTAATAAAGTTGACTACTCTATTTGGTTTACAATACTTTATCTTGTCATTGTTTCCCTCAACATGCAATAAATGGAAGGGTTGCAAGGAATTGATACAGTTAAACCAGAAATTACTAAAGTCTGTGATTATGAGTGGTGTTAAAAAAAAGAGGAATATTGGACTCTTGCTTATATTCCATTAATGAAATTTAAATCTGGAAAAAGAAACTGTTCTCTGTATTTCATTGTCTAGGAATTCTTTAAAAATAGTATTATATTGAATCCTTTAGGAGACAGGAGAGAAATATTTATAAATAAATAAATGAATAGATAAGTAAATGAAGTCTGGAAGAATTTGGAAATTGGAAATAGTGACCAAAAACTCTAAAATAAACATGAACTCAGTTTAAGATTCAGTAGCAATAATGGGAGTAAAGGCAAGGTGGAGAATTTCCCAGGTGCAATTCACAGTGTACATATGCCCAAACCAGAAACTATACTAGTAAAAAGAAATTACATTTGTTCCGCAATTTGAAAACTTTCTCTGGAAAAGGGAAGTTAGATACATTGTATTCTCCCAGTTTGTTGGCTTGGTATAGACAAAATACACTGGAAAATTTGAGCCTGGCATGGCTTGAATGCAGAGGGAGATTGAGCTTGCTTTAATTTGAATTAAAAGATGTAGTTTTAGATTAACCAAGCTTCCCACCTACATTCCTAGAAAGCAGTAAAAGGAGAGACGTAGGCTAGGGACTAAGTCTGACAAATGATTTTCCTTTGTCCTCCATAGATGAGCCAGTAAAAAACGCAGGTTTGCTACCCTGGGTGGTATTTCTATGTTTGTATTATTTACTCTTTAATTGTTAGCTTTCAATGATTCATGACCATGATTATAATAGTTGACCTTTATCAGGCACCCACTATGACTAAACTCTATGTTTCAAATTTTAAGCACATTACCTCACAACAACCCAGAGAGGTTAAGTATCAACATTTTATGAGAAGGACTAAGGTTCACACAGCTAAAGCGTGGCGAAACTGGGGTTCGAACCAGATTTACCAGACCCCAGAATCTTTGATGTGAATCACTGTGCTCTTATTTCAAATATGAATGTAACCCAACATTCTGTTTCTCATTTTGTTTTCTCCTCCCTACTATAGATGCTCATAGTAGCAACAGTCCTTCTTGTACTGGACAGTGGAAACAACTATAAATGTTGCCAGAGTGAAAACTGCAGCAAAAAGTATATGGTAAGAATAATGGTATTTTGAGGATGGTTGAGTGGGGTCTAGCTTTCTTTCCCTCAGAAACCCCCAGATATTGCCACTTTTATACCCTCTCCATGATCCTTTCAGCTCAGAGCCCAGAGATTTATTACAAGAATTATCTCCCATTTTATTTATTTATTCCACCTTTGTTCTGCTGAGTTTTTTTCTAAAATTCAGGATTCAAAAATATATAAAAGTAAAAAATAATACTACTGAACTGGATTTCTGTTGGTTTGATTTTTTCTTTATCAAATTTATTAAGGACTAATTCGCGTGCAATAAATGGCATCCATTAAAACTATAAAATTCCATGAGTTTTGACAGTTGAATATACTCATGAAACTACCATCAAAACAAGATACAGAACAAGAGATCATTTACATCACCTCTCAAAAGATTAGTTGTTGATCTACTTTTTGTCAGTATAGATTAGTTTGTAATCCACACAAATAGAATTGTATAGTATTTGTTTTTGGTATCTGGCTTCAACATAATGATTAGACTTATCCAAGTGTTGGGTGAATGAAATGTACATTTTTTAAATTATAACTTTAAAAACAATTAAAATGGAATCAAGAGAGAATAATACAACCAAATTTTCTTTTTTAATTGATTTATTTATATGTTTTTAATGGAAGTGAAATTGGGATAACTCTATGAGATTTTACCATCCATCATAGTCGTAGAGCACCCGCACCAGTTCACCCATATTCCACCATCATAAACCATTGTGCTTCCTTCCCTCTTTTTCTCACCCCTCCCCCATTCCCACCTCTCACCTCAAATCCAGTGCTTCAGTTCTGTATTCAGCTATTAACCGTTAGCTTTTAAGTTTGTTTTTTTTTTTTAATATTAAATTTTATTTTTATATTCCCCCATACAATTGCAAACGCCCCATTCTGACACAATCCTTCCCCTCCCGCCCCCCACCCCCCAAAAAGTGTCTCTGGTTCATAGTTTTTTGTTGATTTTGATTTTCACTTTCTTATATTCATTTTCTTGGTCCCTTATTTAAGTTTTCTAGATTCCTGCTATGAGTGAGACCATCCGGTATTTTTCTTTTTCTTTTTGGCTTATTTCGCTGAGCATGATCCCTTCCAGTGCCATCCATGTTGCTGCAAATTGCATGTGTTTATCTTTTTTGAATGCTGAGTAATATTCCATGGAATATATGTACCACATCTTCTTGATCCAGTCATCTATTTTTGGGCGTTTGGGTTGTTTCCAAAGCTTAGCTATTGTAAACAGTGCTGCTATAAACATAGGAGTGCAGGTGTTCTTTGGAATTGATGTTTCTGTGTCCTTTGGGTAAATACCTAGGAGTGGAATTGCTGGATCATATGGAAGCTCTATGTTTAGTAGGTCCAGAAATCTCCACACAGCTCTCCATAGTGGTTGGACCAGTTTGCACTCCCACCAACAGTGCAGGAGAGTTCCTTTTTCTCCACACCCTCGCCAACATTTGTTGTTGCTAGTTTTTTTAATATGTGCCATTCTCACTGGTGTGAGATGGTATCTCATGGTAGTTTTGATTTGCATTTCCCTGATTACAAGTGATGTTGAACATTTTTTCATATGTCTGTTGGCCATTTGCATTTCCTCTTCAGAGAAGTTTCTTTTTAGCTCTTCTGCCCATTTTTTGACTGGATTATTTTCTTTGTTGTTGCTGAGTCTCATCAGCTCTTTGCAGATTTTTGTGATCAGTCCTTTATCATTAGTGTTGGGTGCAAAAATGTTCTCCCAGTTGGTGGGGTTTCTCTTTGTTTTTGTTATTGTCTCTTTTGCTGTGCAGAAGCTCTTTAATTTGATGTAGTCCCAGCTGTTTATCTTTGTCTTCACTATCACTGCTTTGGGTGATGTGTCTGTAAAGATGTCTTTGATGTGCAAATCCCGTAGTGTTTCGCCTATATTTCCTTCTATGTATTTTATGGTTTCAGGTCTTATGTCTAGTTATTTAATCCATTTTGAGTTGATTTTTGTGTATGGTGTGAGGTAGTGGTCAAGCTTCATTCTTTTGCATGTAGCGACCCAGTTTTCCCAGCACCATTTATTGAACAAACTTTCTTTGCTCAATGCATATTCTTTGCTCCTTTGTCAAAGATTAGTTGACCATAAATCTGTGGGTTTATTCTGGATTTTCTATTCGATTCCATTGGTCTGTATGTCTGTTCTTGTGCAATACCATGCAGTTTTGATGATTATGGCTTTGTAGTATAGTTTGAAGTCTGGGAGTTTGATGCCTCCATTTCCTTCTTTTTTTTCAGGAGAGCTTTGGCTATTCGGGGTTTTTGGTGATTCCATATGAATTTCATCAATAATTGTTCTATTTCTTTGAAGAATGCCATTGAGATTTTGATTGGAATAGCATTGAATCTGTATATTGCTTTTGGTAGGATGGCCATTTTAATAATGTTTATTCTTCCAATCCATGAGCAGGGGATGTCTTTCCATTTCTTTGTGTCTTCTTCTATTTCTTTTAACAGTGTTTTATAGTTTTCTTTGTATAGGTCCTTTACCTCTTTTGTTAGATTTATTCCCAAATATTTGATTTTTTTTGTTTCGATAATAAAAGGGGTGGTTTTTTTTATTTCTTCTTCTTCAGATTTATTGTTTGTGTATAGGAAGCTACTGACTTTTGCGTGTTGATTTTGTATCCTGCCACTTTACTGAATTGATTGATGAGTTGAATTAGTTTTTTCTGTGGAGATTTTGGGGTTCTCTATGTATATTATCATATCATCTGCAAATAGTGATAGTTTGACTTCTTCTTTTCCTATTTGGATTCCTTGGATGTCTTTCTCTTGTCTTATTGCTCTGGCTAGGACTTCCAGTATTATATTGAAAAGCAGTGGTGAGAGTGGACATCCTTGTCTTGTTCCAGATCTTAATGGAATTGCTTTCAGCTTTTCACCATTGAGAATAATACTGGCTGTTGGCTTGTCATAGATGGCCTTTATGATGTTGAGGTATGTTCCTTGTATCCCAAGAATTTCAAGGACTTTTATCTTGAATGGGTGTTGCACTTTGTCGAAAGCTTTCTCAGCATCTATTGATATTATCATATGGTTTTTATATTTCTTTTTGTTGATGTGTTGGATAACGTTGATTGATTTTCGGATGTTAAACCATCCTTGTGCCCCTGGAATGAATCCAACTTGGTTGTGGTGAATTATCTTATGGATACATTGTTGGATTCTGATAGCTAAAATTTTACTGAGGATTTTTGCATCAGTGTTCATTAGGGAGATTGGCCTATAGTTTTCCTTTTTTGTGTTGTCCTTATTCGGTTTTGGTATTAGTGTAATATTGGCTTCATAGAACGTGTTTGGTATTGTCCCTTCCTTCTCAATTTTTTGGAAGAGTTTGTGAAGGATAGGCACTAATTCGTCTCTGAATGTTTGGTAGAATTCATTTGTAAATCCATCAGGTCCTGGGCTTTTTGTTTTTGGGAGGTTTTTAATTACCATTTCAATTTCGCTGCTTGTAATTGGTCTGTTTAGGTGTTCTATTTCTTCTTTATCTAGCTTTGGGTGATTGTAGAGTTGTAGGAATTTGTCCATCTCCTCTAGATTGTTGAACTCGTTTCCATATAACTGTTCATAGTAGTTACTGATTATTCTTTTGATTTCTGCTGTGTCCGTTGTGATTTCTCCTCTTTCATTTATGATCCTGTGTATTTGTGCTTTCTCCCTTTTTTCCTTTGTGAGCCTGGCTAGGGGTTTGTCTATTTTATTTATTTTTTCAAAGAACCAGCTCTTGGTTTCATTGATCTTTGGATTGTTTTTTTAGTTTCAATTTCATTTATTTCTGCTTTGGTTTTATTATTTCTTTTCTTCTACTGGTTTTGGGGTTTTTTGTTGTTATTTTTCTAGATCTTTGAGCTTCGAGATTAGGTTGTTTCTTTGAGTTCTTTCTTGTTTTTTGATGTGAGCTTCTATTGCTATATATTTTCCTCTTATTACTGCTTTTGCTGCATCCCATACATTTAGGATATTGGTGTCCTCCTTGTCATTCAATTCAAAGAATTTTTTAATTTCTTCTTTGATCTCCTCGTTAGTCCAGTGGTCTTCCAGTAGTGTGGCTTTTAATCTCCATGAGGTAGGATAGTTCCTTGCCTTCTTTTTATGATTTATTTCTAGTTTGATGCCTTCGTGGTCAGAAAAGATGGTTGGTATGATTTCAATCTTGGTGTATCTGTTGATGTTTGTCTTGTGCCCCAGTATGTGATCGATCCTGGAGAATGATCCGTGTGCGCTTGAGAAAAATGTGTACTCCGTTTTTTTGGGTTTAGTGTTCTATAGATGTCTGTTAAGCCAAATGCTCTAGGTCCTTATTTAGAGCTTTAGTTTCTTTACTTATTTTTTGTCTTGTTGATCTATCCATTGTTGATAGTGGTGTGTTGAAGTCTCCCACTACGTATGTGTTTTCTCTGATGTCTGTTTTCAGAGAGGATAACAGTTGTCTGATATATTTTGGTGCTCTTTCGTTGGGTGAGTATATGTTAATGAGTGTTATTTCTTCTTGAAGTATTGTCCCCTTAATCATAATGTAGTGACCATTGGGGTCTCTTTTTATTTTTTTGAGTTTGAAGTCTGTTTTATCTGATATAAGTATAGTTGTTCCTGCTTTCTTTTTTGGCCCATTTGCTTGTAGGATTGTTTTTCATCCTTTGACTTTGAGCCTATTTTATTTTTGTAGCTAAATGTGTTTCCTGGAGACAGCAAAAGGTTGGGTTTTGTTTCTTAATCCAGGCTGCAACTCTGTGTCTTTTTATTGAAGAGTTTATCCATTTACATTTAGAGTTAATATTGATATGTTAGCATCTGTATTTGCCATTATGTTTTCTTTCTTTGATTTTATTTATTTATTCTTTTAATAACTTTTTTTTTTTTTTGGTCTTCTTTCGTTGTTATTCGTCCCTCTGAGGTTCTGGCTTTAGGATTCCTTGTAGTATTTTTTGGAGTGGGGGTTTAGTCGCAATG